GACATTTCCTTTTCAAGCGGTTTCTCAAGGTGTGAGTGCGGTTTTGACTACCACCAATGCCACAGCATCTTTACAGAAATGGCACTGAGCAAGTCAAGCGATGATGCCTAGCAAGGTCTCACTCATCATATCATAGCATCTGAAAGATGCCCTTCACGAAGCGGTCTCTGGCGCTCCTGATTGGGACGATTTCCCCGAGTTTTGTGTGTCGTTTCCCCGAGGGATCGGCTATAATTAAACATAAGTGTCAGAATTTCCTGGGATTTCTTTCCCGAGGCGCGGGGTGCGGGGATTTATTGTATAATTAGTAGCAAAAGTCCTATTTCCCAACACGCGGGGTCTGGGGAAATTTTTATGGGGAAATCGACTTCAAGTTTCCCCGTAGGTGTTTTCAAAAACAGTCCTGTGGTGGTCGCTCCCTCCAACTGCTTACGCTCGATGGTCTTCTCCAAGGTCATTCGGAAGCCCTCCCAAGACATACGGGAAGTCTCGGTCAGGTAGCCTTTGTAGATAGCATATGTTGTCATTGCTCTCGCTGTCTCATTGAAGAGGTCGGTGAGGGCGATGGTCTGGTCAATCCTCTCAAAGAACTCGCTGTAGCATACCTTGCTGATAAAGTCGATGCGGGACGCCTCGTTGTTGGTAGCAAAGATGAATGCCTGAATCTTCTTACACTTCTCCACGGGGAGGTTGGCGATGACGTTGTCGATGCCGTTGGCGTTGATGAGCAACTCGGTCACCTGCTGGATGAACGTCTTGTTGAGGCTGAGGTCGGGGATGCCGAGGTTGAGCACGTGGGCGGTTGCCATCTGCAACTGCAACTGCTTCGCGTTGATCTTCTCATCCTTGCTTGTGGTTGGTGTAGAGCGAGCCCGCTTGCCACCGCCAACGATGGGAGCTCGTGTCTTGATGACAGCTCCATCTTTGATGCCCCATCCTGCGAGGGTGCGTCGGGCGTGCTCTTTCATACTCATCTCACCAGCCACGAGGTAGTCCAACTCTTTAAGGAACTTGGCTTTGAACTTGGGGAAGTTGAACTTCAGCGAGTCGCGGATGTCCTTGCTCGTGGCGGTGGTAGGAAGGGAAATCGTGTAGGTCTCGCCTGCGATAATGATGTTGAGTGTCAGCATCACTGTTTTCTTCTTTTCCTCCTTCTTCGCCTCCTTCTCCTCCTGTTCGCGCTTCTTCTTTTCTTCCTTTTTCTTAGTGTTAATCGCCTTGATCAGCTTTTTGTTGAGAGCCACCTTGCATTTCCAAAAGAACGTTGCCTTTTGAAGCGCCTGCTGGTGCAACTTGTTGAGCTCATCGATGTCTGTTGTTTTGTTCATCTCCTCCTGAAACTCGGCGTCGATGAACTCCTCAACGATAATCAGGGGGTCGGCAGACGATGAAGCAACTTCGGTAGTGGAGCCGGAACCATCGCCTGACGGGTCGGGGTCTTTGTCGCTGTCTTGCTTCTCCTGACCCTCGGTGCTCTTGTTGTCGTCCTCCTCGTCGGTTTCCTCGTCAGAAGAAGCTTCGTCCTCCGAAGCACTGGAAGCTTCAGAAGCAACCTCTGGCAACTCGGCTGGCGGGTAACCAGCGGAAGCGGTGGTGACTTCCTCGCCCTCTTCAACAACTGGCACTGACTGCTTGGGAGCCATTGCTTCAACAAAGCAAAGGACAAAGTGAGCTGAAGAATTTGAGATTGTACAGGATGCTTCGGGATGAATGCTTTTAATCAATTGCTGAGTCGTGACAAACGTTGAACCTGCATCAATTGAGCTTCGGCACTCCGAGCGTCCGACTGATTTATTGAAGAAGTCACCGTCGTCGTTGTAGATGTAGATGCAGATGCCGAAACAGCAAGACAACTGCCCTATGATGTTTAAGGACTTCAAGTAATAGAAACGTTGGTAAGAATATTGTTAGGGAGCTTTGGAAAAGTAGGATGAAAAATAGGAGAAATGAATGAAGGACGATGTTATGAGAATTGGAATGAATGTTAGGGAGTGAGTGTGAAAAATGAATGAGGGTAGAATGAATGATGAAAAAGTGCTGAAATAGGAGGGTAAAAAGGCAATATTGGTAAATAACCCCTAGAATCCCCCTCCGAATAATGAATAAGGTGAATGTGATGATGAAAACGAAGAAGGCGTGTTAGAATGTGAAATAACAGCGGAGGGGGGCAATGAATGATGTATAAGTCCTGAGAAACCCCCTTTTTACAATTTTTTCCCCCCCCCCCCCGGCCCCCCGCCCCCTTAAACCGTAAGGCTATGTCCTTTCAAAGTTGTTTGTTTGGCTGCTGACCCGGGAGAGGCCACTAGTGCCAAGGGTCTGCGAGGACCAAGGTTCCCAGATTTTGGTAAGGTTTCTGGTTTCGGTCACCCTTGTCCTTTTAGACACAATAGACAGAGCCCTATACCTACATCCCTTAATAGGAATTATTTAGGGGGAACCATGAAAGAGGACAAGGCTGGTTTCGGTTTGGGGTTTAGGGGTTCAGGGTGATGGAGTTTAGGGGTTATGGGGTTTAGGATTTCAGGATTTAAGGGTTTGTGGGGTGAGGGTTGGAGGTTAAGCAGTGTAGGTTCAGGCCACCCCACCAAACCCTCACCAACAGACCCCAATCTACCCAGAACATTGGCCTTCTGCTGTGCCTTTGTTTCCTGCGGCGGGGGCTAAGTTGAAAGGGCTTCTCTGACAGCTGGTTCGGTTACGGTTACAGGCTGAGGGCCTAGGGCCTTTATGTGCACCCTCCACACTCCATGCATCATACCGGAAGCATTGCCTCGCACCACGAGCCCTGTCTAGCAGTCCTTGAAACTCCCAAAGGCTCCATGTACCCATATAGTAGGTATTTAAAGGCCTTAAAGTACCCATATAGGGACCCCTTTAATGCCTAAGTACCTACTATATCGGCACATGGAGTCTTTTGGGCTGTAGGTTAAAAGCGACAACGCACTTCCCATGCTTAGGAGGATGACAACATCGGTGAGCCCAACGTAAGATTCAGCCCCCAAATCCCAGACCCTAAACCCCCAACCCTGAGCTCTTAGCTCTATCTAGGCTTCTGGAGTTCAACGGTGTGCAAGAATGTCCGGTGCTGGTCGTGCCGCTCTGCATCTTCGATTCGGAAAAGGATGCAGGTCAACCAGGGTTTAACTAGGTGGCAATTTGGGAAACTTGTTAATTCCCCTTTATGGTTCCCATAGAGGTACCTATTCATAAATACTTTTCAGAGCCCCAACACTACCACCCGGGTAAAGGGCCTGGGCTTGTCAATGCAATGGACGCGAGGGGTTGTGGGGACATCGGGGACGTCTGTCTAGGCTTCACAGGAGGTGAGTTCAAGCTGCAAGCTTTGGTTCAGGTTAGGTCCTGCCCCCTTACAGTAAGAGTCTATAATAGGGCTACTACTAAGGTCCTAACATATCTATATTATGAATTTACAGTAAGAGTCTATAATAGGGCTACTACTAAGGTCCTAACATATCTATATTATGAATATTATTCAACTACTACTGAGTGGGGGCCGTACCCAAGATTTAGGCTTCAGGGTTTGGAGTTCATGCTTAAGCTGCCGGCCTTCGATTGTGCACTGGGCCTATACCTATAGTCTCCATTGTAGTTCCTTTTTGGGGCTAGACCAATTTTATATCAAGGATCCTAAAAGGAAGCCCCAACAAGGAACTACAATGGAGACTATAGGTACACTTGACTTATACGAGGAGGCTCGTGCTTTTGGGCGAGTAGCGCTGACAGTCGCCACTGTACGACGTACGAATCACAACTAGGTTTAAGTCTATGGTATCCCTAAGCCCTAAACCCCTAAACCCTAAACCCCTAAACCCCCTAAACCCTAAACCGTGCACCTACCATGAACCCCAAAGCGAGCTTGAACCATGAAGCCTGAGCTCTAGACTCTCAGCCCTTGCACTTTCTCAAGCATCCGATCCTCATCGCCAAGGATCGAAACCTGAAACCGCACATACATGACTGCAAAGAGGACGGCGAGCGATCTCGTATCAGCTCGTCATGGGAAGGCTCGGAATGACCTGTTGAGGGGGCTTGGAAAAGCGCTTACACCCCAAGAAGCTTCTCTTGGCAAAAAGAAGATGAGCGAGGCTGACGTGTTCTTTCTTCATGTGGTTTTGATGGCTTCCATCCGAGCTCGTTGGAGCCAAGGGACCAAAGTCTCGCTTTCGACTCGCTTAGGGTTTAGTATGGGTTCATGATTTGTGCGCGCACACTAACGAGCCTCGTGATATGTCAGCTGAATTGACTTCGGAACGTCTTCACACACCTAGTATACATTGCAGTCTTACGTTAGCCCGTCGGCGAATACTCCAGAGTTGCAGGCCCCCGAAGCGTCGTAAGCATGTAGTGAGTTCCTTTCGTTAAGGCACATTCATTCGTAAAGGTGATAGATGAAGAAGACATGTAGTTTGAGCACTTTTACATTTAGAAGATGGCGGGATGCTAAAGAAACCTAAGAGCCGAAACAAACGAAGCCGGGCGCGATGTCGCACCTGCCTGTGCTGCCTGCATCCAAAAATACAGATGTTGCCAGCAACACAACAACTCTGAAACACATGAAGCTGGGACGTTCATATCCAAGACGTTGGCTTCTCTTGCTCTTCCTTGGAAGCTTTTTCGGTGATCTTCGTCAATTGGTCAGTCTGCAACCTTCTTGCAATCCGCCCCCAAAGACATCCCAGACTCTGCAAGCACAAATGCTGAGCCTTGCCTCGCAAAACGCACCGAATTATTTGGTGTACCAGAAGAAGAAGGCTGCAGTTAAAACGGTCACAGCTGTCGCTGAACAGCAGTTCAAGAAGTTCAAGCTGTCGGTTTTTCCGTTTGGCTCTTCCGTGACGGGACTCTGCGAAGGAAGTTCCGATGTGGACATGGTGTTGTTCTTTCCACGGGCTGGCCCAACGCCTCGCAAAGCCCTTGCTCAGCTGAAAAAAAAGTTTATGTCTCGACCCGGCGTGAAGGTCTGCCTTGCTTTGCTGATGAAGAGAGTGGAGAGACCACTTCTGCGCCTGGATATACAGGGTGTGGCCTGTGACCTTACGTGCCAGAATGCACTGCCAGTATTTAACACGGCATTGCTGCGAAGCTATGTGAACCTTCTACCTGAAATCCCGGTGCCTGGGTTTTGGAGTACCGTACTTTGTTTCTCTGTTGGGGACCGGTTCCTTAAAGGAACGATTATGACAAAGTTATACTTTTCGCTAAAGCTTAAACTGAACCCTAAACCCTAAACCTTTTTTGCTGGTTACTTCGAAGGGTTCTAAGGTGCTGTCCATGGTCATCAAGCGCTGGGCGAAGGCCGGCAACATTGGAGAGGTGGGGTATCCGAAAATTAGGGGGTGTATTCGGGTTCCTTTAAAGGGTTACTATGAGAGTTTCATTTAAAGGGCTCTATAAGGGTTTGGGGCTTCCGAGAAAGGGGGGTTACCTTGTTTTGGGTTTAGGGTTTAGTTTAGGTACGGCGCCCTTATAGAAAAGAACCCGAAGAGGGACCCTAATTTAGAGAATTGTCCAGGTTCAATCTGGAGCAATCTCGTCTTACGCTTGGACACTCATGGCGGTGCCTCGAGCTTCTTCAGTCTTTTTTTCATGAAGTCTCTATCCCTGCCATCCGACAACTCCTTTGGTACATGTTCTTGACATTCGGTGATTTTTCGTGTTTACCAGTCTCTTCGAACTCGAACGACACCCTCCGGAACAGCTCCCACACGGATCGCATGGTGCATCCCGTGGCTGTTGTGCAGCTTACTGTCATGTGCTGGCTTGCACTTTTTCGGAACTCGTCATGGCCTTAGCTACAAAGATGTGTGGATTTCATGTTGGAGGGCTAAACGCGAGGTGACGGAGGAGGAAACCCCCTCTTTGGACCTAATCTTTGCAGTGTGGCACACTTGCGTGCGAAGTGAACACTGTTTCCATCGATCGACTTCGTAGGATCTGACCTGCCGATCATGTCATCGTGCATTTGAGGCAAAAACGCAAAGTCGCTTGAGAAATGTTCTTTTGTTCTTCTTTACCACGATACCTCGACCATCCTCGACCTCCATCATGGCACGCGCCCGCGAGACTTCGTGGTTTGCATTCTTGGCCTTCGACGCTCTTGTTCCGGCAGTCGATGCGACCGCCACCAGCAAAAGAGCCGACTATTGCAACACAACAAATAGCAACAGCTGCAACGAGAAGCGGCACCACTAACAGCATCAACAAAGACCAGAACAAAAGCAAGACCAACAAAGCCGACCACAACCATGGCAACAGTACCAACAAACCTACCAACAGCAGCAACAACCACAACAACGGGAACAGCAGTAGCGACAGCCGCAACAGCATCAACCCAACAAAGAAACAACGCGCACAAACATAAAAACAGGATGCGAACGTGCCAACAAACAGGGAAACACAGAAAGAAACAAACAAACACCAGCAGCAAGAGCAAAAGCAACCACAGCAAGGATGAGATTAACTAATCCAAGGCGCAGCAAGAGCAGGAAGCAGCAGCACCAAGCACAAGGACAATCAAGCAGCAAACCGACCACGCGACGCAGACTTTCGAATAAGTTTAGAACTGCAGGCTTCACCACGGAACTGAAAGCAGATGGAGAAAGTGTTGCGTGCCAGGGATCTATGCTTGGCGTTCTTCTGCTTGGCTCTTAGGACTTTAATTTTTTGGGTTTCTATATGAACTAGAATAAGGGGGCTACAAGTTCACCTAGGAGGGGTTCTGAAGTCAGCCAAGTATGCATCTCGTGTTGTTCCCAGTCATGTTCTGCAAATTGCCTGTTCTTTCGCACGTCGAGCAACCAACGGCTCCAGATTGAAATCAAGCTGACTCTGCTTGTAACTTGTGACGGCAATTTGGCTCTGCCCTTGCCAACTTGCATCTGTGACCGCTGGAAGAGACTCACGGTGCCTTTCATGTTGGAACGTTTCCAAGGTGTACTACCTGCAGGTCTGTCATGGCTTGCCTTCCCTTCACGCTTTGTCTCCATTCGGAGATCTACGTTCAGAAGCAAAGATCGGGAAGAAGAAGAAGAAGACGACATTTGCCCTTGGTTTTGAGCAAAACGCAACGAAGCAGAAACTGAACCATTCCGTGGGAGATGTGCTGGGTGGCTTTTTTGAGCTTCCCGGCTTGCTATCCTATCATGCCCTCTTTTGGACTGTCATCCTTTCACCATGTTGAGCTGTACATACTGAGGCCTGTCAAGAGAACCCATAGGTTGCTTTGACATGCAGCAAGGTTTTACTCGGAGCAGTTCGACTGGGGCAATGAGGTGGTATCCGTGAGATTGGGGAAGCGACTTCCGGCGAATGATTCTGAGTTCTCCATGCTGCCGAGGAAGGAACCCAACGGATACAGCGACATACTGAAGATTGAGGACCCCATTGAGATCAGTCGCAACCTGAATTTTGCATTGTCCAAGAAGTCTTCACACAAGATACGTGACCTGATTACATGTGCCTGCAGCACGTTGAAGGGCGGTGGATCTCTCGTAGATCTCCTTCGGAGCAAGCATGGCATCGCGCTCAGTAATCCCACGGCGGTGGGAAAGCCGTTTGCAAACTTCCGGAAACTTATTGGCTGTAGACTCAACTTTTCAACCTTTGGGGTTCTCATAAGGCAGTCGATTCTGAAAGTTCCAACTTTTATTTCCTTGGGTTTTGGGCCAGTAAGGAAATATCGTCTATCTACTGGTGAGATGGCTCAGTCCATGACCAGGAGTCAGAAGTCTGAAGCCAGGTATCGCTGCTTAGAGTGCTTCCGCTGCTTTCCGGATATGACCAGCATGCAGCAGCACCAGCAGGCCACCAATCATTCGGGTAGCCTCATCTTATGCAGCGTCGACCCGCTGCCGCCGGAAAACAAGACAAGGGTTCGGGGGAATTGAAGACCTTAGATCCTGAAACCTTAACCCCGAACCTCTTAAATCCTAAACCGTCGAACTTGAACCCTAAACCCTGAACCCCTAAACCCTTAACCCTTAAATCCTAAACCGTCGAACTTGAACCCTAAACCCTAAACCCCTAAACCCTCAACCCTTAAAGCCTAAACCGTCGAACTTTTGGAGCACTCCGCTCCTTGGGAATAAGGGCTTATTCGGGTCCGAGGTCTCAGCTCTGGAGCATCCGAATCTTAGGCATTCAAGGTTCCCAGAGCCTCCAAAACCTCTTCATTAAGGAATATACCTTAAATCCTGTTAGGATCCCTACTATAATTTAAAGTATATTCCTTAATTATAGTGTTTTATAAAACACTAATTTAAGGTATATTCCTTAATTAAGGGGTTTTGTAGTCTCTGGGTTTCTTTCTACGGTTTCGGTCTCAGGATTCGGGTCTAGGGTATACGGTTTCGATGGAAGGGCTTGGGGCTGGGATGTTCGAGTTAGGGGTTAGGGTTTAGGGTTTAGGGCTGATGAGGCTTTGGGTTTGGGTCTAGGTTCAGGGTTTGGGGTTCAGCTTTGCTGGTGAGGAGGCGAAGCACTCAGAGCCTGGAGATGTATGTACTTCAATCATGTGGGGTGTATTCTAGACCTTAGCTTTGCCCCCCCAAAAAAACCTACCCTTCAAGGGCATACATATATAATTAGATTTGCATAGATATATATATATATATATATATAAGTAAGTAAGTAAGTAAGTAAGTAAGTAAGTAAATCTTAATAAGGAACCCTAAGCAGGAGGGTTTCCGGCTGGTCCCCAAACCTAAACCCAGAAAGCCCAGAGACCTAATCCAGGCAAGCGCGCTTTAGGCGAGTATAAGGTTTAGGGTTTGCGGTTTAGGCTTCAGGGGTTCTAGGTTTAGGGTACAAGGGTTTTAGTGTCTAGGGATTGGAGATTAGAGTTCAGCCCTACACCGCCTGGCATCTTCCAGAAACTCGGAAGCAACCTGTTGCAGATTTGGCAAAGACTCCTCGATGACTAGTGCTACATCCTTTCACAACTCCTGGAGCACAGCCCTAAACCCTAAATGGGTAGAATGACGAAGCAAGCAGTTGGGATGACTGCCAGGTTTCCCAAAGGGCTCTAGGTACCTACAGCAGCTGCTGTTTTGCCCAGCGACTCCAATATCGCTTAGTTTAGGAATATACCTTAAATTTAAATTATATTAGGGATCCTACCCTGAATTTGAGGGATATTGGCGTCTTTGGGTGGTTTGGGGCAGGTAGCCCCCTTTGAGCACAAGGACTTTGAGGGTCAGGGACACCTCAAGCCACCGGCAAACTCTTGATAGTGGATCCCCTTGTTTGGGGCCCTGAACTACCGAAGGGTACTTTATGGGAACTTTTTAAGGGATCTAAAATCTTTGGATCTAAAGGAACTCTTAAAGGAGCCCTCAAAATGGCAATGAGGGTACTTAGGACCCTTTCTGATTTCATTTCAATGCAGGCTTCGGCTCTGGAAGAGACCCGTGAGTCGGATGCCCAGGAATTCTGCAGGGTTCAGGGAGAGGGTGTAGGGTGTGCGGTGCCTTCTTTAAGCATGAAAGTTGTTTAAGTTTCCATGAAAAAGAAAATTTCTGATGGTGTATCCTTACAGTAGCTTACACTAGGTTGCGGTTGGATAGGCTTTTGACTTTGAGGTTCAGTCTAGGACCCTAGGACGTAGGACTTGGGGGATAGTCCTGATGGTTCCTTGTTAGGCTGAAATAAAGTGAAGACTTTGCAAGGTGCATGCTTGCGTTCAGAGTTTGGGGTCAGGGTTTAAGATTTTGTTTAGGCTTCTTCGTTCTATAATAACGTCTGGTAACCTTGGTGGCGAAGCTTGCCGGCATCGTAGCCGGTTTGTCGTGATAGCTCATAGCACTTCACCTTCATGACATCTGACTCTGTGCCTGGCCGACAATCCGCGAGCATCCCCTGTGTAGTGGGTGCCTGGTGGTATCATCTCTGCATGGCCCCCTGCATGCTACTTCACTGTCTAGTTCGAAGCCTTCTGTATTTGGGACAAAGACTTGGTCTATCAGCGGCGTAGACTTCACAACGATGTTGCTCTTGTAGGCCAGCCACAAACACTAACACCCAAACCTCATGAAATCTCATAAGCCATCTTACTCCTGTACCTGTACGCCCTTATGCCGATCTAGTCCAAACCTACTTAGGAGACCCCAGTGGCAGGATTTAGCCCCAGCTGCTTCCCGGAACATTACTCCCGACCCATTCCTCAAGTACTTCCAACCCATTCCCGAATCTTTCCAATCGCCACCCCATCATCTTATATAGACAGGACACGTCTGCACTGAACACCTGAACATCACCTTGACTTCATGTATATCTTACACATTAAACGACAGAACCGCCAGATCGCAACCAGCACCCTGAACCCTCAAGCCCCAAACTCTAAGCCACAAAGAAGATTACCCCGTCCCTCTTCCGGGAAAAGAGAGTTTGACCCCGACGCATCAAATCTTTGACCTAAACCCCTGACCAAAACCTAAACCTCAAACGCCGGATTTGCTGAAGCCCTCGTTTCGCAGTGAGGGTGAGATGGATGATGAGAAGGAGGAAGGGCACATGTAAACACTAGCAACAGTGTAAGGGCATTCTGTAAACTAGCGGTCTGCTTCGGACTTGAGTTTAGGGTTTAAGGTTTAGGGTTTAGGGTTTAGGGTTCCGAAGAACGCCTTCTGCATGAAGAAGAAGAAGCAGAAGCTGTCGTTTAGGGTTGAAGGATTAGAGTTTGGATCGTGAAAGCTTGGATACAGCCTGATGGTGCCGCTAAAGCCAATAGCAAGGCCCCTAAACCCTAAACCCTCATCCTAGTATAGGAATTCTAACTGTTCTGCAGTTCGAAAAGGGCCCATTAAAAAAAAAACAGAGAGTCTCAATGTGCAAACCGCAGAGGTCACCGTCACGCCCAGAGCCTCCGGAGGACCAAGGCTGGGCTGCGGGACACATTGAACATAGTATATGTAGACCTTGATGGGGTTCCTATACAGGTACCTTACGCCTGAGTTTGTAGCATTTGGGCACATGGACCCTTAGGAACCACATTTGTTAAGCCCTGTAGTTGGAAATCCCATGTTGAGCAAGTATAGACAACGTCCGTTCGCGAGTGAGACGGCATCGTTGTTTTTTTGCTGCGGCTGACCCTAAACTCAAAATCCTATAAACCCTGAACCCAATTACGTGCCTTCAGGCTCAATGCTGAATTGTAGATCTCCTGGTTCAAGGTTTTGGGGCTTGTGGAGACGATGGCGTGAAGGGCTGTAGGCCTGGAATCTGCTTGAGGGTCCGTGGGTTGTCACAAGTCGTTTTAGGACTTGGGGCTTTCTAGGTTTAGGGTTTAGGGTTTGAGGCTGCCGGGGATAGGGTTTAATGTTTAATTTTGCTGAGGGGCCAGGCTTAGGGCGAGCTAGTTGATAAAGAAGCAGGGCAGCCGGCGAGCCCTGCCCCCTGAAAAGCCAGTGTTCAGGGATGGGTCTGGAGTCAAGAGGAGGTCTCCACTTATTGCGAACTCCGACTGCGCTCAACCCTATTCCCTGAGCCTTACCTGGACCCCATAAGTATGTAGAATAATAGCCTTTTATATGTGTTGGGCCATGATTTCACATACTTTTGGGGGGTCCAGGTAACCCCTGAACCGGCACCCTCGACCCTGAAATCGCCAATCCTCGACCCCTACATCCGAAAGCTTGGAAACACCAGACCCAGAACCGTGAAAACCCTAGACCTACAAGAAAAACCTTACGCCGCGAACCTTCAAATCCTGAGCCTTACATCAGTTTTCAGTTTGGGGATTTAGATCCAGTTTCGAGATCAGCGTTTAGGTCTTATGTTTACGATGTAGGATTTAGGATTAAGGCTTTGGGGCTCTTTCAGGAAGCCCAACATTCCGAATTAATTCATCGTCTATTGTTCCCAACCTTCCCGGGCCTCGCGAGTACAGACTCTACTCAGATTGAGGATTGGAAGATGCTGAAAAGCTATCCTCCACGATCTGGACCGACCACACCCCCTAAGCCCGAAGCGGGTTTATAGCTTCATGGATCGGCCCTGGACCCCAAACCCCCACGCATTTTGGGTCTTGAACAACAAGCATGTGCTACTGTACCTGGAGTATCTGATGCCAAAATGACGCATAAACGAGATGTACAGACACAAGCGCACACACACACAAAAGTTGTGTCTATAATTTAGTCTATAGTATACATGTATATATGTGTACACACATGTTTGTTCTTGGAATGCATAATGCGGGGCTTCCCAAATCGGTTGCACATTCACTACTTAAACTATCCCTGAGGAGTAATTAGGCTTAGTGGTGCGCAGAGACTAGATGGGGTTGGGTCACGTTTCAGCGCGGTCCTTTCCAATCCTTCTTTTCATGGTCGGTCAGACTGAAGAAGCCCTCGCAGCTCAGCTTCCTCGAAACTTCAGGAGCAACAAGCTCCGCGAGCTTTGCCCAGTGAGAATGCCTGCCAGCTCTTGCATCATGCTTGCATACGAAGAGCCGCACCCAGACCTGGACTATTTCTTGCATTCACCCGAACAGAACAAGGACAACGTTTTCCGCACAGAAGGTCAGGGTTTCCATGAACCAATTATAGACATACTACGTAAGAAAGCATAGCCATAGGCTCCAGGCTTTTAATTCAGTGTTCATTGTTATGGTGTACCAGTTGTTAGGTACTGACATGTACTTGAGGTCATATGCACTGCACAAACCAATTCACTTGGCACACACTGCGTCAGCATGCCTACCCCTACCCAGAGTCTGCCAAAGCGTTCTTGTATTCCACGGCGGCGCAAGAGTCTTTGCTCCCCTCGGGCGTCTGTAGAGATTTCTTGGCACACTGTTTGTGAAGAATCCTCTGGCCCGGACTCGAACCGGAAAAATACGCACTGGGGCGCGCACTGGGCGCAAAGTTGCTAGGTTACATGGTTGCTG